GGGGTCTAAAAGGAGAGGAGGATGGGTCTTTAAGGCGGATGAAGACTGGAGCATGATGGCTCGATACTACAGGAGTAGAGGTGTCTCAGACTACCGGGTTAATGCCGGTTGATGGTACAGGAGGGTCTGTGGAGGGCTCAGGGCTACAACTTATATTGGCTAAGATGATGAGTGAGCTCAATTGGGGATGACTAAGAGGCAGGGAGATAGAGGCACTAAGCTTGGAGAGGAGATCTCTCCCTAACAAAGGGAAGGGACAGGACGGGATGACTAGAAATGAGTGGGTAAGAAGATGGCTATCCAACATGTAGGCTACCGGACCTGTCTCTAGAGGCTTAGAGAGGGTTCTTGTGACACTCACAACTGAGACCTGGGAAGGATGTAAACGCCCGTGAAAGGAAGGTAAAACAGAGGCAGCTTCTGTGTCTACTAAAAAGAAGATGGACTTACCCGCTATCTACAGCGTGGCCCTGAGCTTGGCAAGGGTGATAGGGGTGTTCAAGTTTAGGCATCTTCAGTCTTCGAGTAGGCCCAGCAGGTCTGGAGGGGACTCCCTCATGGGGGCCTGCCTCCCACGAGACTCTGTCGCAGGAGGGTGACCTTCCCAACTGGGCACTCTACTTTCCCATGACTTCTCTTACTGCAAATGGGGCAGGGTTTAGTCGGCTTGCTGGTCGGGTTAGGGTATCTCTTTGCCCAGTGGTCTTCTTGGCCACACTGGAAGCAGGGTCCCAGAGGCTCACGAGCTCTGGACCAGTCTTTGGTGTAATGAGACCCCTGTCCTGCCGGCTGCAGGGCTACCATGAAGGTTTGGGTTTGGGACACTGTCTTCCTTTCATGTTCTTCAATACAGGTATTAAAGACTTTAAAGGCTATGGTTACCAGGTCACAGAGTGGAGTTTGGAGTCCCTCTTCTGCCTTTTTAACTTACGTCTTATGCAACTAATACTTGTTCTGGTGAAATCTAGTTCTTCACTAGTTTAGGAGTAATAAAACAGTGAGTATTGATGACATAAGACTTACAAATGACAATGGTTAAAGATTTGATGACAGCTTACTGTAAGACAGTTGTCATAAGGAAATTTGGATATTTCTGTAACACAAAACATTCAGTAACAAAGTTTAGCATTATTCCCTTTGACAGTGCTTTCTAGGTAATTAAGCAGGTAATTATATATCAGATAAATAAGTCAAATTAGCCAAATATTTTTCCTGATGAGGAGAAAAAATTCTTCTGACATGTTCCAGGGGCTTTCTGGAAAATATTAGAGTTAACTAAAGGTAAAAGCACTTTTTAAAATTTGATTTTGGAAAGTTGTCAAAAGAAAGTTTATTTGGCATTTGCTTAAATAGGATTATAGGTTGCTATGAAGAAATACTTATCTGTTTAACCAGAATGAAAATAAAAGATTTTAAAGGCAAATACAGAAGGTTACACAGTTATTAGCAAAGTTTAACATTTAGTCCTTTGATATTAGAATCTCATTTTCTTAAATACTCAGACAATTCATTGAGATTTTAAGCATGAGAAACTATTTTGATGAAACAATTAGAAAGCCTTTTGCAATCTTTCAACATTAAGAGCAGACTAACAGTTTAAGAAAACCTTGTCTTTTTAACTGAAAACAAAATTCTAATTTTGCTGTGTCCTTGATATCAAGACTCACTTGCTTTAATTTCACATAGCATGACCATATCAATTTTTCCACAAGCTGTCTACAACTTTCTCTTTATATTCAGTGTTCTCCCCCTTTAAATAAATAGCTGTACTTTAGAACAATTACCTTCTTTTACTCTCAACAAAACAAATTTCCATTCTTTATATTTTCTCTTATTAAAACACATCTTTAGCATACAGAAATATTTTCCTTATTATATTAAGTAGTTTTCATTAGAACTTAAAACCATTACTTTAACCTTCAGTGAACACTGAAAAAGAGGCCACTGTAAACTGTTACACTAGCATTCTTCAGAGTGATACATCTATGAATGTATATTATTTTTGGAAATGTGCTTTACAGCATAATTTCTCATTAGGCACAAAATATGTCTATATAACTTAGCAAACTTTAAGAATTTCGGTTACCACAAAAATTCTCAGGCTGTTTGCATATATATACACTGTTATACATTAATACAGTATTATTATTAAGATGTTTATTTGCTACACTTGTTTACTTATTTTTAGCAACTATGCTAGATTGCTTACAAAACTTTTACCAAACATTAGATAAAGTCAAGCTTTTCTTTAAGCATCTTCTTGAAATGCTTAACAGATAACATCAACTTAAATGACTTTAAGTAAACTTTGGCAGCTGGTAACTATAAGGACATGTCTGTTTCAGTTAAACAAATTAGCATTAATGCTTAATTTTTTTTATTTGTATTTTTTTAGTTCTGATTGCTGCTTTCTGTCTTGGGAATGTCTTGATTTATTTTTTTATTTTTTTAGAGGGCATCTCTCATATTTATTGGTCAAATGGTTGTTAACAATAAAATTCTGTATAGGGGGGTCAGTGCTCAGTGCACAATCATTAATCCATCTCAAGCCTAATTCTCATCAGTCTCCAATCTTCTGAAGCATAATGAACAAGTTCTTACATGGTGAACGAATTCTTACATAGTGAATAAGTTCTTACATGGTGAACAGTACAAGGGCATTCATCACAGAAACTTTCAGTTTTGATCATGCATTATGAATTATAAACAATCAGGTCAAATATGAATATTCATTTGATTTTTATACTTGATTTATATGTGGATCCCACATTTCTCCCTTTATTATTATTATCATTTTTATTTTTAATAAAATGCTGAAGTGGTAGGTAGATGCAAGATAAAGGTAGAAAACATAGTTTAGTGTTGTAAGAGAGCAATTGTAGATGATCAGGTGTGTGCCTGTAGACTATGTGTTAATCCAATGCTTAATATATTTTATTAGATTTTCTGGAAGTTTTAGAATGCCCAATTTTCACAAGCACTTGTTTTTAAATCAATTTTTATCAATACCGTCCGGAGGTAGGAAAATATTTTTCATTTATACACTTAGACACACAAACATACAAATTGAGACATAACGACTACAGTTAGCAACACTTTTCATATAAAAACATATACACAGACAGACAAACTGATACAAAGATTTGAGTTACTGATATTTAACTGCTTTCTTTCTTTTTAGCTTCTTGTCTGTGGCTTCCAGAAATGGAGGGTGGAAGGAGCATGTTTTGGTGAGGGAAGAGGGTGGTGAAGGCGGAAGGAGAGTGGGAGGGGGTGGTGCAGCCACCGGAAGAGGAGAGGAGCAGGACGACAGCATGGTTGAGAATGTAGAACTAAGATGGCAGCAGCATGAGGGAGGACAAAGAACTTAAACATGGTGGCGGAGAGGGGTGGGGGTAGCGAGCTGAAAGAGGTGGGAGACTAAGGTTTTCTGGCAGATCTGAAAAGGAAGAAGGACCAGGCAGAGTAAGAGGCTGACAATCCTTAACTGGAGATTGGGCCAGGAGAACCTGAGTCATTGAACATTTAACGTGAAGGTCTGGGTAGGATCACAAAGTGCAAAAAGCCTGCACATAGGGGATCTCACCCCACTCTCCGCTCCGGTGGCAATAATTAGTCAAGTCAGTGAGGAGGCCAAAATCGAAAGTTCCCTCAGGAGGCCAGCGAGATTGGTTGTCCAAGGGATACTGAGGCCTGGCCTCAGAGCAAAGAAAGACTAGCTTCCATTTGCGAACTTCCTGGGACAAACATAGAGCAGCCAAATTAGAAATGAGACACCGCAGCGGGGTCTGAGCCTCTGCTTTCGAGGGCTGGTTCCCCATGTCTGCGCTACTTCCCGACTAATCTTGCTGAGAGGAGCTCCCAGCGTCCCAAGTGCGCCAAGTCAGAGGAGACGGCCTGGGAGCCTGAGTAAGGGACATCTCTCATACTGCAGGGCCACGGGCGGGTATCCCGGATGTCCGCAGCGGATGGGCCAGATGCCCAAACCTGGACATAGGTACGATTTCGGATGGACCAGGTGAAACGGAGTTAGGAAGGGAGACAGACCGGGGGAAACTGAGGGACTCACCGGAAAATAGTCCATTCAGCAGAGAGCAGGCTGAGGTCCCGGGGTCGGGGAAGGAGTGGGCAGGGCCACTGATGCCAGTCAGGGCCCCGCGCTCATGCTCTTTCCCAGGTTTCGGCACCAAATGTAAGATAAATTCTAGCCAAAATAAGCAGGCAATGAGAGGCAACAAAGGGCCAGGCAGTTTATTTGAGCGCAATTCCCAGAGCTTAGATTTACAGCGGCACGAGGATTGGCCAGCCTAAGGCACATTTTTCAGGTTAGGAGAGGGCAGCAGCCGGGGACTTTGGCACATCATCAGTGTCTGACATGCTCACCCCTCCCTCCAGTGCCTCCAACCTTACAGTGACTTTATTTGTATTTATTTCTGAATATATTCTCCCACTCCAATTTATTACCATACCTTATTACTACTTTTATGTGTAGGAATTCCTTTCCTGGTGTGTGTGTGTGTGTGTGTGTATACATGAGTGAGATGAGTTGAAGATAGGGGCAGAATCTACTTCATAAGGAGTCTTGAGAACTACAGATAATATTATACCATTATAGCTTTTTAATGATAAATCATTGCCCAGAGTGGCAGACATAAAAGTAAAAAGTGTAATTCATTGTAACTCTGTGACCTATTTCTAGGTATAATAATACATCTGCTTGTTCAAAATATCTATTATAGGGATATAGTGTAACAACAATAGGTTATAGTGTGAATTCAGAAAATATCAGATAATGCTTTGGAATTGAGTTTAGTAGAGTAAATGGAAAGATCTTTGTTGTCTTTTATGAAAAATAGTGTTTTGGGTAGGATGCCTAATCTTAAAAAGTTTTACTTACTTTTTTTCATTGTAGGGAAGACTAATTACCACATTGTTTGAGACTATTTCAAATATTTAATAAATTTATCATTCTTACTAACCTAACTTTTGTTTTCTTTTAGCAAAACTGTACAATCTAGAGTGGACTGCATTTTGGTAAGTACAGTAACTAATCTTAAAGTTCTTTTGTAATAAGACTTTTTTAGCAGTACATAAAATGTTATTCTTGAATAAATATTTATTTTAAATATGACCCAATTTTAGCAAATAAAATTTGACATTTAATTACAGCCCTTAGAGGTAAACTGGCTATAAGGTATCTAGATACTTTTCCCATATCTTATCAATAATGAAATCACAATCTCAGGTAATTGCATGTTTTTGAAACTTACTGGCTTTTACTAAAGATCATTTAGTGGATCATTTAGTTCTAGTAACTCTATAAGAATATTTTTAAGGAAAAAATTGTAAGAATTTTGATGAGTTAGTTTTATTGTGATAGCACATTTTTCATATTTGGGTTGCTGGATTTAGGAATTAAAGCCACATTAATCATTGAAATTTATGTTGAACTTAGAGAACTCTAAGAATTTGTTTAGATGAAAGCATTTTCAAATATTTCATGGGTTAGTTTTGTTGCTATATTTTTCAGTGTTTGGTTTTATTACCTTAAAGAATTAAAGCCACAGTACTAGTTTAAATTTAGGTTGTATTTGTAGTTCCTTAGGTCTTCTCTTAAACATGTGAGGGAAGCATGCAGCTACTGGGGCTGCTGAATAGTATTGACTTGCTTCAGTGAAATCTCTGTGATGGAATATTCCCCAGGCTCTAGAACAATCAGTGACTCGGCACTCATAGGGTCCCCAAAGTGTTACTGTAATTAGTCCTCTTTCTCTTCTTGTGACATCAGAACTTCTTATTCAGGTTTGGGTCTTCCTTATAACCTAACTTTTTTAATGGGGGAAGGGAGTGTCTATAGTGTCTAGTGCTGAAATAGTATTTGATATTTTACTAGCTTATGATAGTGTTATTAATGTTATTAGCTTATTAGCTTTGGGGTAGGTAAGTGAATAGTAGTAGTTCATATAAGAAGCAATTTGATCAGTTCTCCTCTGCTTTAATAATATAGTTAAGAAAGAGGACTTTGTGGGGAATGTTCTCCCCTTTTCCTTTCACTTTTTTTTTTTTTGCCTTACAGTAATACTCTGAAGTAGATAGTCTTGTTACCTCCTATTAATCTTATTACCTTTTACAAATGAAGAAACTGATACTTTTTTATTTCTTTCATAAAAGTAATTATCAAACACCTGTCTGCCAATGGTAGATATAAGTAATACCAAAAAGAAAGGACATTCTCCCTTGCCCTCATGAAATTGTCTGTTGTCAAAATATTGAAGAGTGCTGTTAAGACCTAAACCTCTCTCTCTCAACACTCGAGTCACACTGTACATCTATCACTCAGTAATTATTACATAATTACAATGTGCTAAACCCTGTCCTCAGCATCAGAATACAGTGGTGAATAAGACAGATACAGTTATCTGAGAGCATCTGCTTTCCTATTAGTACCTGAGATAATGTTAAAGGATTATTCAGTTTTTTCCTCTTCATTGAGAAAATGGAGGCATAAGACTGGTATAATTTATAAAACACATTTATAAAATACTAAATAAGAACAGAATTTTTTAATCTTTCAAGAGTTCAGACATGTTTGTATTTTAGTGTAAGACTTAAAGTTATGTATATTTGCTGAAAAGATCTGTCTTTATGAATGGTATAATTTATTGGCTGAGGTAGATGTTAAGTGAATGTAAGTGTTATAACTTCAAATAATCATAAAATACTATTACAAAATTTTTATAAGACAAAAGGAGGCAAGTAATGGTGGGTAGGCTAACCTTAGATTGGGTGATCAGGAAGAGCCTCTTTGAGGAAATGACATTTGACCTGAATAAGAAGCTAGCTTTATGTAATGAACTACTTGTGACACATACTAGGCAAAGGAACAGTAAGTACAAAAATTCTGAAGCAGAAATGAGTTTGGGATATTTAAAGAATACAAAGAATCCCATCTGTTGGAACTTATGAAGGGAGGAGAAGATGATAGAAAAATTCCCGTAGGGAGCAGTTTATGTAGGGTATATTTAGCCATGACAAATAGGGTATTCATGGAAAGTCAGTTAAAAGCATTTTAAGTAGGAGAATAATATGATCTAGTTTTTAAAAAAATATACTCTCACTGTTGGAAAATGGGCTTGTGGGGGACAACAGAAGAGGTAGAAAAACCAGGGTATTGCAGAAGTCCAAATAATACTTAAAGGCTCTAGGTCACATGATGGCGGTGGAAGATGGAAAAACAGATGGAGTCAAGGCTTATTTTGAATATAAAGCCAGTAGCCTTGCTTGCTGATGTATTGAGTACAGAGGGAAAAATAATTCCTTTTGGAATTGTACCAAGGATAATTCCATTAGTTCTAATGGATTTCCTTTAGTATCTCTTGTAAGATAAGTTTCTTTATAATAATTTCTCTTGGTCTATTTATCTGTGAATGTCTTTATTTTGCCTTCAGTTTTGAAGGATAGTTTTGCTGGATATAGAATTCTTGGTTAACAGAATTTTTCCCCCTTTCATTGCTTTCAGTATGTCATTCCACTGCCTTTGGCATTCATTTTTTCTGACTAGTAGTCAGTCGTTGTTTTCTTATGCATCATGAGTTGTTTTTCTCTTGATGGTAACCATAATTCATTCATAATGGGTTCACTTGCTTGTTTACTTACCCACTTTTATTTTCAACAGTTTGACTATTATCTATGTGGGCATGGATCATTTTATGTTTATCCTACTTGAGGTTTGCTGAGTACACATCTGTAGCTTAGTCTGATTTGGGAAGTTTTCAGCCATTGCTTCAAATACTTTTTCTGTCCTTTAGATTTCCCACTCCTAAAGCTCCCATTATTCATGTGTTGATTAATGTTATCCCTCTTGTCTCTGAGACTTTGTTCATTTTTCTGATTGTCTTTCTCTGTGTTCTAGTTCTCTCTTTATTAAGATTCCCTATTATTTGATTCACTGTCATCTTGTATTCCTTGAAGATTTAAATACAGGCAGCCTCATCCTGACAGCACTACTGTCCAAACTATATGGGATAGATAATGAGAGCAGCCCCAGGCAAGAATGGCACAGACTCCTTAAAGTTAAGTAATTTTGAATGACCAACACTTTTTAATAAGTTGTTTGCCTTTATTGTCAGTTTCCAAAGCCCTAAAAATTTTCTTTTTTACCATATTCCATCATTTTATAGTTATTTTGAGGATTTGCTGGCCTATTCACTTCACCTTTCTAGATATCAACCTTTATCATATGTTTTCTTCTACAAGTTGTAGAGTTTTAGCTCTTTTATCAGGGCTGTGAACCATTTTTTATTGAAATGTATTTGGTTTAAGCTGAACTGCAGTGTTTATTTATTACCATATGGAATGATGTCCAGTTGTTCCAGCACCATTTTTTGAAAAGTCAGCCTTTCTGTAATCACCTCCTGTATCAAAAAGCATTATGTGTTGGTCTTTTTCTAGACTTTTTTCATCAGTTGCTAGCTCTGTGACATCACCACACTGTCTTGTTTATGGTAGCTTTATAGAGAGTCTTGACATCAGGAAATGTAATAGTCTAAATTGATTTTGACATTTCCATACAATGGAATTAAGATCAATTTGGGGATAGTTGATATTTTAATGACAAGTCTCCTAATCCATGAGTATGGTATAGCTCCATATTAGTTGGTTCTTCTTTAATTTCTCTTAGCAGTGTTTTCTAATTTTCTGTGTATAGGGTTTGTATATATTTGCTTATATTCCTAAATATTTTAAGATTTTGGATGCTATCATGAATGACATTTTTAAATGTTTGTTACCAGTGTTTTATTACTACTACTTATATTGATCTTGTATTATGCAAAATTACTAAATTCTTATTAGACCTAGTAGCTTATATATGAAGTCTTTGGATTTTCTATCTACTTGAATTGTCCATGAATAAATACATGTTTACTTCTGTTTCAACCTAAATGTCTCTTTTTCTCACCTTATTATGTAGCTAGGACCTCCAGGACAATGTTGAATAGAATGGTGAGCTTGGAGTCCCTTTTTCCTTGTTGCTAATCTTAGTAGAAAACCATTCATGCATTCACCTTATTATGTGATGTTAGCATTAGGTTTTTCACTGATGCTCTTTTCAAGCAGAGCATGTCCCTTCTATCCTATTTTGTAAGAGGTTTTTATCATAAGTACATATTTGTATTTCTGCACTTAGTGATTACATGGTACTTGTCCTTTATTAATATGGTGAATTACACTGATTGATTTTCCAAAGTAAACCATCTTTGAATTCCTTTGATAAACTACATATGATGCATTATACTTCCATATGTTGCATTGTACTTTTATATATTGCTGCATTGAATTTTCTATTTTGTTAAAGACTAACATTTGTGTTAATTGGGGCTTTTGATATGCTATTTTCTTGTGATACCTTTTTCTGTTTTTGATATCTGTAATGTTGACTTCCTATAATGAGTTTGGAAGTGTTCTTTCCTTCTCTATTTCCTGAAAGGATTTATTTAAAATTAATATTATTTCTGTTTTAAATGTTTGATAGATTTCACTACTGAAACTATCTGTGGAAGAGGTTTTAGATACAAAATCAGTTTATTTCAGTATTATGAAGTTATTAAATTCAAGAACAGTCAAGAACAGTTCCATCACACAGATTCCTTGTTCTACCACTTCATAGCAACTTACCAGTCACCCCCTTCCTCCCATGTCCCTGATCCCTCATAACCACTTACCTGTTTTCATCTCTGTAATTGTCATTTCAAGAATAGTATATAAATGGAATCACACATTACGTAATAACCTTTTGAGATTGAGCTTTTTTCACTCAACAGAATTCTCTGGGGATTCATCCAAGTTGTCATGTGCATCAATATTCATGTTCCCTTTTATTGCTGACAAGTATTCCATGGTATAGATGTAACAATTTTTTTTACCACTCTTTAAACATTTATTTAATAAACTGTTTATAGACATTTGGGCTGTTTCCAGCTTTTGGCCATTACGAATAAAGCTGTTATGAACATTCATGTACAGGTTTTGCTGTG